AACCTTCAAATGATTGATGGAAAATTAAACAATATATAAAGTTTTAAATTCTTCACCAACTGCACCTAAATTTAATCCAATCATAACAGAATGGAAAATAATTCCAAATTCTAAAACTAAAAATGCAGCAATTTGACTCTTAAAACTTCTTTCTTTGAAAATACTTGATTCATCAGTTGAATTATCAAAACTTTTTTTCACATCGTCATTATTTCTTTCAGTATCACTATTAACTTGAATTAATTGATCTTTTTCATCATTTCTAACAACTGCATCCATAATTTCTTTATTCCCCACATGAGTTGATTGACCATATTTTCTTTCAACATAAACATCAGAAATAACATCAATTAAAAATATAACAAAGACACTAGTCATTATAATTGTTGCACACCAAGGGAATGCAGACCAATTACCATTAGATCCAACACATGATTGACCACCAATTTCAAGATAAGCAGGATCCATTAAATGAATGAATGCAGTTGCTAAAATAACTCCAGAACCAAAATATCTTGCAAATATATAAAAATATAAAGGTAATTTTAATTTTTTAAAACTTCTTGCTAATAATGGGAATATAGTAAATCCTGTTGATACAAATAATATAACAAATATTGAAGAAATTCTTGCACCTAATTGACCATTATATTCATTTTCACCAAAATAAACACCTTGAAGAACACAAGTTTTCCATGCATTATCAACATTTGGATCTGTTAACAATACGGTATCAGGGTTTAAATTTGACATTTTTTGTATGAGTTGATCTTTTGAATTATGAGGTTTTATTGTTCTAATGTTCCATTGTTTAGTATAAATTGTTTAGTATAAATACTAATAAAACTTTTCCAAATATGTATGAGTTGTAATTGTAACCATTAAAGTTGAATATACCACACTGTCTATTCTTGGCTAAAAGATACAGGTAGTTAAAACTAACGATCAAAATAATTTGATTAAGTCATAATGAAGTTTATATTAAACATTGGTATGACTATTGTTGAGTTAATCCATATCCTTTACTCTTTTGTATTCAAAATAATTCAAACTCTTAGTGATTGAATTGTTGTTGTTTTATAGATTTACCAGCTTAATGAAGTTACCAAAATCATTTTCTTCGCGAATCGAGATTTGGTCCGTTCTAAATCTAGATTCAGTATACACTTAAGCATTAATTACACTGAATGTTGAGTTATCGGAGCTTAATTCTTTAATTGATTTCTAGACAACTGTACTTTGATCATTGAGATTCTATTATAACTTATTGTCAACTATTAATTCCTTATTATATATTATATTGTTCATACACACCAAATATCAACCATTGTACAATAATTCCATTATACTATTCCATAAAAAATCACACATAAAACCACAAGATACCATCGGGCCCAAATTATCCTTATTTAATATCACATAAAACTAAATTTTCATGAAATTTTTTACAAATTCTTTCTAAATTTTCAATTCCAATAGATTCTGGTGATGTAATTATAATATTTAACCCACCAGTCATTGTAGAAATTGCAGTGATTGAGAAATCATAAAAATGAACATTAAAATGTTGTGTAAACATTGCATCAATAATTTGAAATTTATCATTTGATTCACTGTTATTTAGGATTATACCAATATTTGAAAAAGTTGAACCTGTTCTTTTATTCATAATTTTTGGTAAATCAACATCTAAATGTTTATTTTTAATCATTTTATCCCAACCTAATATACCCATTGAATATAAAGGTTTTTTCAATTTTAATGAAATTTTTAAATCTTGATTAATTTGATTAATTTTATTCCATGTAATTAATTTCATTGGTTTGGAAATTTTACTAAAACCTGATACATTTAAACCAAATTTATATAAATCTTGTTCATCTTTATTAATAAATTGACGAGAATCCACTGCAATACCTAATAAAGATTTTGATGATTTATAATATTCATCTTGATATAAAGTATAATTCCAAATAGATTGAATGAAAGGTGTTAAAGTTAATTTAACATTATTGAAACTATTTTTTGATAATAATGATTTAATTTTTAATAATTCCATTGGATTTATATTAACTCTATAATGAATATTCTTAAGATGACCTTGAATTAAAGTTGATGAACAAAAAAGTTTTGGTTCAATTAATGAATTATAAATATATCTTGGTAAAGATTTAATTGATGGAATATGATTCATAAGATCAGTTATAGGTTTTGGTAATTCACCTAAATTCAAATGATCTTGTGAATAATTGAACACGATATCATCATCATCACTTAAAGAATCCAAGTCCAATTGATTAAAAATTAATGATAATTCATTAAAAATATTTTTACCAGATATTCCATCATGTAAAACATGATTTGTTATAAAAATTAATGTATAATCATCCAAGATTCCTAATCTCCAAACTAATTTATTATCTTCATATGGTATAATTAAATCATTTAATTTATTTAATAAATCTTCTTGTAATAAATTTGAATATTCAGGTCTTAAATCCCAAACCAAATCATTAAATTTTATTTCATCAATAATTTGAATATAATCATAAGGACGAGGTTTTATATTAATTGGAACATTTTGAGTAATTATTGTGGAAGCTAATATTGGGAATTTTAATATTAATAATCTTAATGAATGGAATAAAATTTTAAAATCATCAATTTTTTCATTATATTTACACATAACGAAAAATGATTTATACATTTTTTGACGTTGTAAAATTGCAAAAAAATCTTCTAAAAAACCCATTTGTCTTGCATGATTTTTTGATAATTTATATTTTAAATTTGATAATGATTTTGAATCATTTTGATTGATATATTTAAATGACATATTTGATGATGAGGTTAAGAAAGTAAATTGTAATGATTCAAATAAACATTTCTTGTGTTTATATATATATATGGGCCCTTGAAAAAATATATTCACGCGTTAACATTTCCTTTTCTTCCAAGACTAATTAAGGAAAAAGATATGTACTAGAATCATGCACAGTACTATATAGTGACACAGTACAGAAGCCTCACGTTCATATTGCAGCAAAAAGATCTGTCATGTAGTATTAATGGTGATTTGTATTGAGTTATTGAATTTTGAAAAAACCAATGCTTTTTTAACAACCATGTCATCATATTAAACCTTGAATACCATAAACCTTCAATGGATATATTCAATTGATATACTATTGTTGATTGTTGAAGTTAAGTCTTGATCTGTGTGTCTCACTAAACAAGGATACATAATCATGCAATATTGATGATCTTTTTGTTAACGATTGAAAATCTTTCACCTTGTACAAGGTTAAGTACAAGGATTATTCATCATATAAATCAGAATGGTATAAAAGTTGAAACCAGCCATACATGTGCACTGTGCAGTACAAGATCTGAGAATTGAAATTTAGTAGACTTCAACAATTATCATTTGTTATTGTTTTGGTGTTTGTTGTTTTGTTGTTTACCACCTACAAAACCTCTTGTTTATGGTTTTTTTTTTCAGCATATAAATCCGAATATACCGATTATGTAAGTGATGATATAAGCGTATAGTAATTCAAAATATTTTCAGCTACTTTTAATCATCAGATTCATCAAAAGATTCTTACATGAATTGTGGGTTTTATATTACATCAACATGTTTATTTACACTATATATATATTATGAGTCCATGGATTCATTTCACGTCCATATCATTACAAAAATAAGGGGGTAAAATAGTCGACCATATCTTATATGTACACAGACTACTTAATGATCAACTCATAACTTAACCAACTGAGAATTATACGGTTTAAGGATTAAAAAATTAAATAACTTCAATATGGTATACATAACAAAACCTAAAAACAGTTTTAAAAATATATTAACATATGATAAACGGCTAAATTTCAATCGATTTGTTCTTCCGTTAGCTAATATCATTTGACTATATATATAAGGTGTAATTCTAGCTAGAATTAAATTGATCAAAGAATTATCAAAATGATCCCCACAATCAAATGTCACTCAACTAATTGAGAAAAGCCCCTCCTTAAGCTTACATCGTAGTTTATCCAATCCGGAGAATATATGATCTATATAAATTATCAACAGTTGACTACTATTTGTACGAATATTTCCCCATCAAGAACAGACATTTCAATCAACATGTCTTGGATTTGAATAAACGATCCAAGATTTATTATAAATTATTCCACGATTTTTAAATAATTAATGCCAGAATAAATATATGGAATAACCTCATAAAGATGTTTCTTAGATACCACTTGAAGCATATGATTGACGTTGAATTACTTGTATATTATTCACATTGTACACTAGTACTTGTTATGTATCGCGAATACACTTTATAAAACAAAGGGAAAAACTTTCAGATATTCAACAAACCTATACACTATTATTCAACTGTTAATTGATTATCGATGATTATTTTACGAACTGATTATAGATTTCCATTGTTCGGGATATTTAGTTGACCGATATTACAACGAACAGTATAGTTGGACAATTGTTGGACAATTTACAGAAGGCTGGATCCACTGGACTCACAGAACTCACTGGAGCCAAGAACCAAGAACTTAAATATCCAAATGTTGTTTTACCTGACTATTTTTTTCCCTGAATGATTCAATTTTTCTCCACAAATTTATACATATCAAATCTTATCAATTGGGTTTTATCAAATTGTTGATCAAATTTAAAGATATCATTATACGAGTTGTTCCAAAAGGTAATGATTATATGGTTGATGAAGACAATATAATATACCATCAAAATCTCCATTCCAACTTTAATCAAATCTCAAATTATCAATTGCATTTGTCCAAAGTTTAATATGCTCTCCATGTTTTTTTTCCATCTGTTTGTCCTTCCTTGGCGGATGATATAGCATACAATATTATTTCCAAATTTGGTGATTAATCCATAATCCATCATATATAAATGATAAACTGAACCCTGTTTCAACTCAATCCAATGATCAATCAATCACTTCTGTTCTTCAAGACTTTATTAACAATGGGTATTGAAAAATCAGCTGAAGGTCCAGCTTTAAAACTTTATCAATTTTTAGATAAATTTCCAAATTTAACAAATGTTGTTATTATTTGTATGATTTCATGTATATCAGGTTTAATGTTTGGTATTGATATTGCTTCAATGTCTGCATTCTTGGGTCATGATTCTTATTTAGAATTTTTCAATTCACCTAAATCTGATTTACAAGGTTTTATAACAGCTTCAATGTCATTAGGCTCATTTTTTGGTGCTTTAAGTTCAAGTTTTATTTCTGAACCATTTGGTAGAAGAGCTGCTTTATTATGTTGTTCATTTTTTTGGTGTGTTGGTGCCGCTGTACAATCTTCATCTCAAAATGTTGCACAATTAATTATTGGTCGTTTAATTGCTGGTTATGGTATTGGATTTGGCTCATCAGTTGCACCAATTTATGGTTCTGAATTAGCTCCAAGAAAAATTAGAGGTTTTATTGGTGGATTATTTCAATTTTCTGTTACTTTAGGTATTTTAATTATGTTTTATGTTTGTTATGGATGTGGTAAAATTAAAGGTACTGGATCATTTAGACTTGCTTGGGGTTTACAAATTGTTCCTGGAATTTTATTATTTATTGGTATTTTTTTCATTCCAGAATCTCCAAGATGGTTAGCTAAAAATGGATTTTGGGAAGATTGTGAAGCTATTGTTGCAAATATACAAGCAAAAGGTAATCGTGAAGATGCTGATGTTCAAATTGAAATTTCTGAAATTAAAGAACAATTATTAATTGATGAACATGTTAAAGATTTTACTTATGGTGATTTATTTAAAAAAAAATATATTAATAGAACTTTTACTGCAATTTTTGCACAAATTTGGCAACAATTAACAGGTATGAATGTTATGATGTATTATATTGTTTATATTTTTGAAATGGCTGGTTATTCAGGTGATGCAAATTTAGTTGCTTCATCAATTCAATATGTTTTAAATACTTGTACCACAGTTCCAGCTTTATATTTTTTAGATAAATTAGGTAGAAGACCAGTTTTATTATTTGGTGCAGCTGCAATGATGACTTTCCAATTTGGTGTTGCAGGATTATTAGCTACATATTCTGAACCAATTGCAGATTATAATGGTTCAGATACTGTTAAAATTCAAATTCCAGATTCTGAAGGTGCAGCTGCTAAAGGTGTTATTGCATGTTGTTATTTATTTGTTTGTTCATTTGCAACATCATGGGGTGTTGGTATTTGGTTATATGTTTCTGAAATGTGGGGTGATAATGTTTCAAGACAAAGAGGTACTGCATTAGCAACTTCTGCAAATTGGATTTTTAATTTTGCAATTGCAATGTTTACACCATCAGCTTTTAAAAATATTACATGGAGAACTTATTGTATTTATGCAGCATTTTGTGCTTGTATGTTTGTTCATGTTTTCTTTGGATTCCCAGAAACTAAAGGTAGAAGATTAGAAGAAATTGCACAAATTTGGGATGATAAAATTCCAGCTTGGAGATCAGCTTCATGGCAACCAAGAGTTCCATTATTATCTGATAAACAGTTGGAAGATAAATTAACAACTCAACATAATGAAAATACTAGCGGAATTTTAAATTCTGATCATGCTTCAAGTAATGAAAAGGAAATTGTTGAACATGTTCCAAATAAAGAAGTTGTTTGAGATATCAAGTATATATAGCTATAGTAATGAATAAAATGGTTTTTAATTGAGTATTATTATGTATTAATTATTATATATATATATATCTATAGACCATTCAAAACCTCTTTTAATGTATTTTCTAATTCTTTAATGAATGATTGGAAATTATCTTTAAATTCAGGTACACATCCAATAACAATATTAACTTTTTCATTTGATGAAGCTAATGATTGCATAATAGATGCACCAATTAAATTATTTGATTGTGAAAATATAAATTCATTTGCATAGATAGGGAATCCATTTTTTGAATCACGTAAACCTAAATTTGAAATTTCTAATGTTGGTATTCTGGGGTTTGATATTAAATTTTCCAAAAGATTTAATGGATTTACATAACTCAACATTCCAATTAATTCACATGATTTCAACATATTGGATTTTTGTAATGAATTGTTTATAAATTGACATAAATCCCAATCAATATTTGATGATGATGATGGTGGAGGGATTAAATTTAATTGAATAGCTGCAACAAATAATCCATAAGTTTTCCTATATTCAGATGACAAAATTGACCTTATATTAAATGGGATTGTTATATTAACATTATTATCATTTTGTAATTTAGCAAATGAAATTAAATTTAAATAAGTCCATAAACTTGTAAACTTAACACAATGTTGATTACCTAGGTTTTTTAATTTTTGGAAATCATTTGAACTAATTGAAATAATATGCTTTTCAGTATGGAAAGTTTGTTCTTTATGTCCTCCATTTTCAACGATCCAACCAGGTTCTAAGGATTCAAATTTGGATAATGAATTAGTTTTAAAATAGTTGACAATTGAATTCAACCATTTTGGTGCAAATACTTCAGTGATTTTAGAACTTAAATGTAAATATGATGGTTTTATAATTTGATTAAATTCAAATTCATTTGGATTTAAATCTTTTGAAATCTCGTTATTGTTTAGAATTTGTAACAAGTCTTCCAATATTAAAGCAGCTGTAGTACCATCATATAATGTATGTTCACAAAGAATATAGATCCATTGATTATTAACCACAACTATTTGCCATAAAGTTTGTTGAATTCCAAATTCAAATGTTGTTTCATGTAATTGATTTAATGTTGTTGTTTGTGGTTCATCACTTTCAATGAATTGAATTGAAGTTGAAGGGAAATTATCAAGTTCTTTAGCAATATATGCACCATCAATCTCAAATATGTTTAATCTTAATTTGGTTCTTTCATTATAAAGTTGATTTAAAGCATTTGTGATTTTCTTTGATTCAATTTTTTTATTAAGATTCATACCAACAATGAAACATGATGAAACATGTAATTCATTTCTATGATAATGAAACTTTTCAAACAGATTAAGTTCCTGATCTTTTTGATAAACCATTTGGTACTCAAAGTATGATATAGGTCCTTAAAGAGATCATTTTAGTGGTGTGTTAATATGGTTTTATATCAACAAATTGACCTAGCCCCTATTAATTACCCCTATATAATATTTTTTTTTTCTCGGAGAGTACTGTAAACTACAAATCTATAAAAATTCGATGCATCAGTCAATAATTCATATATAAGCCATATTATTCAATATGTTTATCAAAATGTTTTCAAAACTTCTTCAGTTGAACTGACAGTAGCATAACCAAATTCTAAAGTGGCAAAAACAGAAGCAGAAACTTGAGCAGCATTAACAATAACACCATCAAATTCTAAATCTCTTGTAGCAACAGCATCTTTTGGAACAATGACTTTAAACCCCAATTCAGCAGCAGATCTAGTAGTACCTTGAATACATATATGAGTCATTGCACCAACTATAACTAAATCAGTAACATTCTTAGATCTCAAAGTTTCTTCTAATTTAGTACCAACAAATGAATTTGGTGAATGTTTAACAATTACAAGTTCATCATTGGTAGGTTTAACTTCTGAATTGATTTCAACACCTTTTGTGTTTTCTCCAAAAAATGGTGCTGGATCTGAATCAAATACGTGTTGAATATGAATAATTTCAATATCATTATTCTTTCTAGCAGCTTCAAGTAAAGTTTTAGCTTTTAAAGTAGCTTCATTAATACCAACTAATGGGAATTTACCATTTTTATCACCAAAATAATCATTTTGAATGTCAATTAAGATTAGAGCTGTTTTACCCATAATTGAATTAGTAGTTCTGAATATAAAATTATGATACTATATGATTTAGATAATATAAATTGATATATATTGATAAGGGATCGATCTAAAGTATAGTTTAAAGGTGTGGCTGAATTGCAAATGATATAAATATATATATATATCAAAACCATAGTCTTTTATTTTGTTCTTTCTCAAAATTGATCTATGAAATATTTCGATTGAACGGTATACCAAGAGCTAATTACTAACGATTACAAATCAATTGGAGCTCAACGTCACAGTGTATTACGTTACACCACCTTGATACCATTCACCCCCATTGACCCTTCACAATATAGGTGTACCAAATATTCTACTATTCAACGGGGTTTAGAGCAAGTAAGACATTGAGAATAGTATATGTCTACTTTTGTAATTTGTAATGTTTATATATATAACAAAGTATATTGATTAAATTTAAAAGAAGAAGTAACGTCATGGTTTATATGATTGGGTAATTTGTGAGAATAGTCACGTGTAGACTAATGAGATCACATGATTAGGGCTGAGCCCTACACTCTCATATAATTGATATACCTTGAGGCTTGTACCGAAGGATATTTTAACGAACGTTGTTTCTGGTGATTTCTGAGAATTCCGGAATTGACCATTATATTAGAAACGTCGTACCATATGTATAATTTTGCATAATCTATAATTGGGTCAACAATTGATGCCGGACTGATAACAGATGCTCGCGCGCAATTTACCCAATGAGAACATACCAACTTGACAAATACGAGAATACAAAGTACCAAGATTCATAGTATTATTAGCGTATTCTATTAAATGAACTCTTGGAATAATGGAAGCAACTGGCTGAAGATAATCAACCAGTGACCACTAATCACCAAAAGCTGCCTGTTCACTCCAGAGTCCAGACTCGTCCAGACTAATTCAGACTCGACGCGCAAAATCAATCCGCTTTTGATCGATTTTATACGGCGAAAATCAAATTGGAGATAAAAAAAAAAGAACTGATAAAGATGATCAATTAATCAATTTTAATCATTTGAACCCGGACTTTATTAGCGAATACAATCGTTATCATGACGTTATCACAGTACAATAGTATGATCTCAAGTAATCAATGATCTACACATGTTCAAAGTGTTGTGAATTTATAAATATTGTTCAAGATGCTACTTTTTAAATACACAGTGCCTAAACATATTAAACATTAACCAATATGAATGAAAAATTAGATTCAACAAACATCAATCAACATGATGAGAATAAAGGTGAAGTCTTATCAACTTATATATCACCTATTCTTTCAAATGGTAAAATAAATAGAGAAGATGCTGATGAAGCAATGAAATTAGCTTTAGATTTAGAAGGTCAAAATATTGAACTTGATGAAGATACTTCAAAAAAATTATTAAGAAAAATTGATTTTTGTTTATTACCATTAATTGGATTTTTATATGCATGTCAATTTATGGATAAAACAACAACTTCATATGCTGCTGTTATGGGTTTAAAAACTGATTTAAATATGATTGGTGATCAATATTCTTGGACTGGTACTGCATTTTATATTGGTTATTTAGCTTTTGAATTTCCTGCAAATGCTTTATTACAAAGATTCCCATTAGCTAAAACAACTTCAACATTTATTTTCATTTGGGGTGTTATTTTATGTTTACATGCTGTACCAAAATATCCTGGATTTGTAACATTAAGAACTTTATTAGGTATTTTTGAAAGTTCAATCTCACCAGCTATGGTTATTTTAACAAGTCAATGGTATAAAAAAGAAGAACAATTCATTAGAACTGCATGTTGGTTTGCTTCAAATGGTCTGGGGATAATTATGGGTGGTGCTATTGCATATGGTTGTGCTCAACATGCAGAAACTTATTCATTTGAAGCTTGGAAAGTTTTATTTATTGTTACTGGATTAATGACTATTGCTTTATCTATTGCTTTTTTTTTACATATTCCAGATACACCATCAAAAGCTTGGTGGTTAACACCAACTGAAAAAATCTTAGTTGTTGAAAGAATTAGAGATAATCAACAAGGTTTTGGTAATAAACATTTCAAAAAATATCAATTTAAAGAAACTTTAATTGATCCATTAACTTGGTTATATTTTATTTTTGCAATTGTTAGTAATATTCCAAATGGTTCATTAACAAATTTTGGTAGTATTTTATTATCTGAAGATTTTAAATATAATAAAAAAGAAAGTTTATTAATGAATATGCCATGTGGTGTTGTGGAATTTATTGGTTGTATTGGATTTTGTTTATTAAATTATAAATTCCCAAGAATGTTAATTTCATTTGCTGCAATGGTTGTTGCATTATTTTCTTCATGTTTATTAGCATTTGTTGAAAATAATAATAATGCAAGATTAGCTGGTTATTATTTACAATATGTTTATCCAACTACAACAATTTGTGCTTTATCATGTTTTGCATCAAATACTGCAGGTCATACTAAAAAAATTTCAACAACTGCAATTTTTTTCATTGGTTATTGTATTGGTAATTTAATTGGTCCACAAACTTTTACAGAAGCTCCATATACAGGTGGTAAAATTGCAATTGTTGTATGTAATACTGCAACTTTAATTATAATTTTAGCTATTTATTTTGTTTATATTTATTCAAATAAAAAGAAAGAATCCAAATTGAATCAATTAACTCAAGATCAATTAGATGCTTTAGAAAATTCAGAATTTGCAGATTTAACAGATAGAGAAAATCCAAAATTTAGATATAGTGTTTGATATAGTTTAATTGTTTAGTTTTAATATACTGTATATATTATTGTTTGATCATTCGTACTATTAAGTTGTTTCTACCCCATCTTTAATATCCTTCGGACCTGACTTTCGGATCACGATCCTTAACAATAAATTTTCATTTAAAGTATATAACTAAACATCAAACCTTCTTATTTTTTGGTTAATCAACAAATCAAAACCAACTTTTCATAATGATTTCAAATGCTTAATTCTCATATTAAATGGCTTGGTGATTTCCTCTTGAAACAATGGTTTTTCATAACATTAGCAGTTTTTATCGTTATTGCTAGATTTGCACCAAATTTTGCAAGACATGGAGGACTTATAAGAGGTGAATATACATTTGGTTATGGTGCTCTAGCTATAATAGTTTTACAATCAGGTTTATCTTTGAAAACAAAAGATTTAATGAAGAATATGGGTAATTGGAGAGCTCATTTAACAGTTATAATCATATCATTTTTAATTACACCATCAATAATGTTTGGAATTTGTTCAGGTATAAAAGCTTGTAATAATAAAGAAATTGATGATTGGATTCTTGTTGGATTAATTGTTACTTCTACTTGTTCAACAACAATAGCATCAAATGTTGTAGCTACAACAAATGCAAATGGGAATGTCTTATTAGCTGTATGTGAAGTTATTTTAGGAAATACATTAGGTGCATTCATTTCACCTGCTTTATTACAAATGTTTACATCAAATAATACTTGGAATTTTGCAAATCCAGCTTCAGATCAAAGTATTCAACATCTTTATGGCTCAGTAATGAAACAACTAGGAATAGGATTATTTATTCCATTAGTTGTTGGACAAATTATTCAAAATATTTTTCCAAAACAAACAGAATGGTTTTTGAAAACTTTTAAAATGAATAAAGTTGCAAGTTTTTGTTTAATTTTAATTATGTTTAGTTCATTTTCTACTGCTTTTTATCAAGATGCTTTTAATAAAGTATCACATATTTCAATTATTTTCCTTGTATTCTTCATATTAGGAATCTATATATTTTTTTCATTCATATGTTTCTGTTGTGCAAGACCAATAATTATTAAATGGATTTTCCCCGTGGAACCATCAGAAAAATCATCTAGATATTATAACTGGGGTTATAAATTTTTTAAACCATTTTATTATAGTAGAGCTGATACAATTGTTTTGGTTTTATGTGGTGCAACAAAAACTTCAGCTGTTGGTGCTTCATTAGTAACTTCACAATATGGTTCACATTTTGAATTTTTAGGAACATTATTGGTTTCTTTGGTATTATATAATGCATTTCAAGTTATTATTTCACAATCTTTTGCTCCATTATTTAGAAAATGGGAATCTCATGATCATGATAATGAATCTTTGGAAGAGTTTACAACAAGTACATCAAGCACAGAGACTATGTGTTGATCAATAGATCACTGTTGATTAATGTGATCATTCAAATATTTATATGGTATCTAAGATTTTCATAAAGATTAGAATATTTTTGATTTATATAAACATATATCAATATTTTTGAATATATTCGAAAATTTGCTAGTATTATATATAGTGTGCCATCTTATTGATCATTACATCTTAATAACGGGTCACATACTATGTACATATATTATCCAATCAACGTAGCATATTCTTCATTGTACACCTAAATCCATGACTATATTTACTTAAATTTTCATATTTCAATGCTATAGGTTAAAATTGATTGACTTTGCAAATTACTATTTACTACCAGCTGCTCCTTGAACGTACTACCTCTTTAAGATCCCGCAGGCCGCCGCTACCCCAGATCTATTGATCACTACTAGTCCCAGTTGAGGTTTCCTCAAGGCCTAGTCTCTATGTCTAAAGCATCAGCCCTTAAGGATGACTCATTTTTTTACAGTCATTTACTTATAAGAGCCTAGCAGTCTAACTCTCTTGAGTCTCAAGTCTTGAAATTGTTTTAATATTGGGTAACGTTGTCCGAAAACACGAAAAGGTGTATAATTAATTAGTTCTCCACACAATTATTTAGATCAGCGCTTAAAACAAACCACCGATTTCTTGATGATATCAAACTCCCAATTTCAATGTTTTTTATTCATTAATGATTTAACTACAACACACATTTTACCGCTCGAGATTCACATCTTTATTCCATTTGTCGGTTGTATAACATCAGCTATTTGTCATGAGTGTTCTTGATTCAACTATCCCTGAGAGCCATTCTGTTAATATTTCATCTATAATAGCAACCACTCAGAATCCAATAGATCCTGATAACAATGAAAACAATGTTAAAAAAAGAGTTCGTACAGGTTGTTTCAATTGTAGAAGAAAGCATAAGAAATGTGATGAGCAAAAACCAGTATGCAGAGCTTGTGTTTTAAAGAATAATGTTTGTGAATGGCCTGATCCAAATGAATCAAATAATCCAAAGAAACCTAAAAGACGGAAATCTTCTTCTAATGAAGTTTCAAACAAAAGATCAAATTCCAAAATGGATCATCCAAGAAGATATTCATATTCATCAATAAACTCATTATCAAGAGAATCAACTTCACCTTCCAATCATTCTGATACTTCAATAACTTCTAAGAGTTCTGTTGACAAAGAAGAAAGTATAAAAGCTATTAATGATTATTCAAAAAAACTGGAAAATATGGAAAATTCTTTAAGCAATAAAGCTTCCACATCTACATCAACACAAACACCACCCACTGGTTTCATTAATTCTGAAAACTTACCAGTAAATACACCTTCATGGATCTTTACACCTTCTGGATTATCAGATTCATCCAATGTTAATCATTCAACCATTTCACCAAAATCAAATATCCCAAATCAAAGTGCTACACCAATAACTGATCCAAAACCAGGTGATCAAGTGGTATCTAATCCAGTCAATGATTTAACAAATCTTTCATTCATTTTAAGCCCCACGTCTAGTCATCTTGATATTTTAGATATTGGTGATTTACAAAACACATTTAGAGATTATATGTTTGCAAATGCATCAGAACAAGTTAATGATCCGTTGAATATGGTCACACCTATACCATTAATCAATACACAACCATCTTTATTAGAAGAAACTTCACCTGAGGTATTGACAAAATCACAAAAGAAAATCTTATTGAAAAACTATCTATACAAAGTTGCACCATGGTTAGATATGTTTGATTTAAGTAGACAATTAGGTTTACAAACTGTACAATTGGCTAAAAGATCACCTTGTTTAGACTATGCTATATTGGCATTAAGTGCTAGACAATTAGAAAAGACAAACCCCCATCAAAATATGGTTTCATGCAGTACATTATATCAAGCTTCATTGAAACATTTGATTCCCACCGTCAAGACAAGGACTGATATAGCTGTTGTTTCAACTTGTGTTTTATTGTGTGTTTTCGAAATGTTATCAAGTGTTCCTGGTAAATGGAGATATCATTTAGAAGGATGTTCGGTATTATTTAAAGCTACAGGTATTCATGGTTTTAGTAACCCATATGAAAGAGCATTGTTTTGGGCATTTGCAAGAATGGATGTGAATTCAGCAGTTATTGGTGAACAAGCTACAATGATTGAATGTGAAAAATGGTTACCTGAAGGAACACCAATAAGAGAAGGAGGTGAATTGTTTTTAAAAGAAGGTTCTATTGATATGTATGCAAATTATAGTGTATATTTATCTTCTAGAGTTCTTAATTTGATATCAAGTACAGTTATTCAAAATTTTGATGAAGAATGGGAATTTTTGTGGCGTGAAGTTAGAAATTGGCATATTAATAGACCAGAGTTAATGAAACCAATAATGGAATTTGAATCATCACCATTTCCTGAAATTTTATATGATAATGGACCTGCAATCTCATCAAATCAACTTTA